TGCCTCAACCAACTATAGGAATCATGGGAATGCAACTCAATGAGGACTATAGCATTTATTTTTAATGTGTGTGTGTGTGTGTGAGAGAGAGAGAGAGAGAGAGAGAGAGAGAGAGAGAGAGAGAGAGTGTTCTCTGCCTTTCCCTAGTTTTTAAAACTTCAAAAGAGATGGTACCACTGCTGCAGGGAAAACAATCCAGTTTCCTGTCTTCATGGACTGTGTGAAGGCTCTTGCAGGTCATTATGAACTGTGTGGAGAGAGGCAGTCCCCACCCTTTCCAGGCCTCTTACCGTGTTCAGCTCTGATTCCAAGCTGCAGTTTCTAATGTGCGGGAACACTTCACTGTACTTGCTTGGGTAGGTAGATGCCAGGTAGTCCTTCATCTCCTCCAGGTTACTGGCTGTCAGAAAGCCATCTTCAAGGTCAAAAGAATTGGTCAACAGCAGAATCACCCTGCAGAGCAGACCGCCATCTTGACCTTCATGATTAAGGGGCCACTGGCCCTAACAACTCTGAGAATCTCAGTGAGGAGAGAGACTCTGGACTAATAATCCTTTGTAAGGAAGGGCAACTATGAGTGTCTGTGCAGAAACTTCAGATCTGAACAGAGATGAGGACAGCCCTACAGTGAGGCTGTTTAATATCTGGGCCAGTGATGTCTGATGAAACTGAATGGGGTGGTAGAAATGTAACATTGTACTTAAATATGACTTGTGCCACTGAGTAACCAATTAACCTTAGAATCACTTCAATTTAAATTCATATCAATATACAAGTTATTTGAATGTATACTGACTTCCATGAATTTCAGTCCTAGTTTAGAGATAGCTACTTGTGTAAGTGACTGCCCTACTGGACATCTTAGCATCTTTGAGGGAAGCCAAAGACAGTAAACTGTAGTCTCTGAGACTTGGTAGAGAGGTCCTGGTTACACTTGAGATGGGGAATGGGACCAAAGACATTGGCATTTTTTGCTGAAAGCCCCTTTCTACTAAGTGCAATGACCACTTTAAATTGCCTATTCCCTGCAAGGCAGGCCCTAACTTTTTGGACCGTCAGTTCTAGTGCTGGTAAAAGGCAGCAATTATGTAGTTGAGAGAAGAGAACCTCACTTCAAACTGTAGACCTCAACACTGGAGTCTTTAGTCTACCCCTTGACTTCTGGGAACCCAGTCCTTCCCAGTCACCCTTCCAGCTCAGAGCTTTGGAGCCTTGCCTTCCCACTTGAGGCCCAAGGTTCTGAGGGACAACTTAGACTCACTTGTTTAAGCAGTTTTCATAGTTGAAGGTGGCCTTGAAGCCATAGATGGAGAAGGTCACAATACTGGAGAATATGGCAGTAGTACTATTGATGATGGACACAATGATGGCATGCTTCTGGCAGTTGTTGGAGGGTTCATTGTAGCTGGCAAAGGCAATCAGGCCACCACACCCTAAGCCCAGTGAGAAGAAGATCTGCGTGGCTGCATTGATCCAGGCCTTGGGGTTGGCTAGCTGCTCAATCTAGAAGGTCAATAAGGATAGGACTGAGGAATCCCTGGTCCCAATCTAAGACTCCTCCTCCCAGGAGAAATAGGCCCAGAGAGGGAGAAAATTACCTCCCAACTTCCCCAGCTCTCCAGAACTGGCCTATGTGCAGTATATTTCTTGGCAAGTAAACCACATTACTAAACCTCAGGTAAAGTTACCCAAGGGAGTTTAAGAGTAAAGTTAACATTGTCAAAGCACTAACTAATGTACGTTTAAATCACTTAATGTTAGTGAGAAACTTTTGTCATAGGTACTCTTTAATGTTTACTATTTGCTTAAATAAGCTAATATGTTAAGAGACTGGAGTGATCTAATTCCTGATTTAAAAGATACTAGGCCATTCCCAAATTTCTCACTCTCTTTAGTAAAGACAATCAGCCAACTGTAGCATGAATCCTAATTGGTCTTAATAAAAACCCAGAGCCAGATATCAGGGTCAATGCTGAAAGATCAGAAAGACAAAGGAATAAGCCACAACTACCTCTCACTTCATCAACTCCTCAGCCGAAAAGAGAGGGAGCTCCTGTCTTCTCCCACCTTATATTCCTCTCTCTGCCCAGCCATATCACTTCCTGTCTCCACCTCCCTAGTGCTGGGATTAAAGGCATGAGATCCCAAGTGCTGGGATCAAAGGTGTGTGCCATCACTGCCTGGGTCTATTTCTCTTTTAGACTAGATCAATCTTATATAGCCCAGGATGGCCTTGAACTCAAAGAGATCTGTCTGCCTCCACCTCTGCCTCTGAAGTGCTAGGATTAAAGGTGTGTGCCACCACTGCCTGGCCTCTGTGGCT